TATCTGGAGGGTAGCTTGTATAGGAGGCGGCAGACAGGGCAGGTTCTGTGTGGCTCTCATGGATGGAGCTGGAGGACATTACCAGGAAGCAGATTTGGGTGCACTGGGAGGGAGGAGACTGTCTCAGGTCCATCTTGTGAGGTTGTGAGGTTGGCTAAATTACTGTGCCAGGAATACAGTTAACAGGATGTCTGTCATGTGTGGGAGGGTGATTTGGGAACTTTCAGGTCCCTTCAAAAGTGTGGAGACGTAGTAGGTACGTGAGGTTGTCAGGTATGAGTCCTGGCGTGGCCATTTACTTGGCTCTGCGACTTTAGCAGGTCAACTGATCTTCCCAAGGTTTAGTTTCCTTAACTTTTTTTTTTTTTAACAAGACACTTTTCTTTTTCTTTTTTTCATGTTTACTTATTTTTGGAGAGAGAGAGTGCAAGTGGAGGAGGATCAGAGAGAGAGGGGACAGAGGGTCCTAAGTGGGCTCTGCAATGACAGCAGGGAGCCCTAGGTGGGGGCTCGAACTCACAGACCTTGAGATCGTGACTTGAGCCGAAGAAGTCGGATGCTCAACCAACTGAGCCACCCAGGTGCCCCAGTTTCCTTAACTGTTGAGGAGAGTTAATAATACCCTTCCTTGAAGGTTATTATAAGGGCTAGCTGCAATTATGTAAGTTTGAAAAACAGCATAGTAATGGGTCACAGCTCACTAAATGTTAGTTGTTATGCCTGCCTCTGTCTTCAGTTGTGCACGTTCTCACCTCCATGCCTCAGCTTTCCTGCTCCTTGGCCTGGAGCACTCTCTACCCAATACCAACCTGATCTGAGGCATCCTTTCAGGTCTAGCCCAGCAGGCATCACTGTCAATGATGTGCTTTGGTGTCACTCTCACCTTGCCGAGCAAACTCTTGCAACAGCGCCATAGCCCATGGCTGAAGGACAGGCCTGCCGTTGGGCACACTCTGCATAGCTGGCCCCATGTTTCACCCACCGCTGATGCTCCCTTCACTTTACCTGGAGCTCTGGCTGTCTCTCCCATCAACACCCTGCTCTTAAACTCTGCTGGTCTCCTAGGGAGTCCACTTCCTGGCCAAGTGTCTCCTTTTTGATTGATTTTACTATCAGACTTTTGAAAAGTCAATGCAATTTTTAAGAAATGGACAGCCAGCACAGCCCTGTGGACTGTCCCTGAGGCTCTGCCCACTTGCTTTTCTTCTAGAGGCTCAAGGGCATCCATCCATTCCCTGTTCATCTGAACTGAAGTGCTAATGTTCATGAAACTTGTGAAGTTTACCAGGAGCCGTGTCAGGACATCAGGACTTCCTATCTCTTGAAGTCCTGTTCAAATGTGATGCTTGGCGGTAGCTGGGATCTAATGAGCCTATCTGGCATAAAACCTCAAGTCTTCTTTCATTTTGTCAAAGCAACCCAGCAGTTTGGTTCAAGATACTAATTTTGTTAATTGGACCCAAAAGAAGATGCATGAGAGAAGGATGAGTTGGAAGCTGGAAGGAGCATATTGAGGCCAGATCTGTATAAATACTGCTACACAGTCCAGATTAGGCAGCCACCTCTATTTATCATCATAATTATTCCACCAAGGGGTGGAAAAGTCCATTTATTGTATCTGCCAAGCTTCCAGAGTAAGCTGATGAACAGTCAATACTAGTTGTGCATGCCTGTGTGTGTGTGTGTGTGTGTGTGTATGTGTGTGTGTTTTAAGGGGGGCATTTATTGAATTCAATTACCTCTCCATTCAATAAATGAGAAAATGCCTCAAATGTCTAATGCTTTCCTTCACAGTTTCTCACTGCATTTTCATTAGAGGACACTTTAGAAGAAGTCAGAGCTATTTCTATTTCTAACTAAGAGCTTGCCCCTTGAACCTACAGGAAATTTTTCCTCTTTTATCTTGGTGTGAAGTCTCTCCAAGGTTGCTTTCCTGACCACCAGCATTAGAATCACCCAGGCTATACAGACTCCCAGGCTCCCCCTGAAACCTCCTGTTACATCTGAGTGTGGGGCTCAGCAACAGGCATTTCTGGTAAGCCCCACGCATGCTGGTGTCTGAGAGACCCTGCAATGTCCTATAACGGCGCCGTGAGGCTGGTGATCAGTCTGCTGGGGAAAATGGGGTTATTTGAGTGTTCTTATAGAGCACATAGCTCTGGGGCAATGATTCACATAAGAAATGGAAGAGTTCCTATTCTTAAGATGTAGATAATAAAATCGGGGTCCAAGGAGGGCCTTTATTGTATCGGGACCCCACTCTCACCAGCTGCACAGCCCTGGGCAAGGCACAGAGCTACTGCATTTATCAAATGGAGATTATTGTACATCACATGCTGAAGACTGAAGATAGGACTGGACCAGATGACCTTTAGAAGTCTTTTTACTACTAAAATCCAGTGTTTTATTTTATAGCTTAATTACAAGAGTGACTTGAAGGTAAGAGGCTCTGAGGTGAACCTGAAACTATGTACAGTCCTCTCAGAGGGAATGTTCACTTTTTGTCTTTAATGTTTTTTGTTTATTTTTGAGAGTGCAAGTGGGGGAGGGGCAGAGAGAGAGGGATACAGAGGATCCCAAGCAGGCTCAGCCCGGACGGCAGGGAGCTCAATGTGGGGCTTGAACTCAAGAACTGCAAAATCATGACCTGAGCCGAAGTCAGATGCTCAACTGACTAAGACACGGAGGGGTCCCGGAAATGCTCACTTTTCAAACGAAGATGGCCTCTTCCTGGGATGCCTGGGGGTTGAATCACAAAGCCTTTTGACCCTCTTGCTTTACTGGGAGTGGAAAGGTTTGTGGAGACCAGAGAATAGTAGGAGTCCTGGGCAAGGACACTACCTTGAAACTTACTGCATTTAAAACACTATTGTCTCATGAAAAACCTCCCTCTCCCCAACAAAAATCATCCCTCTAAATTCCTTCTTTCAAGAAATTCTGCCACATCTGCCCTCCTCTGCCTTCTCTTGGTGAACTCCTACTCATCCCTCAAGACCTAGGACATACATTGTGTGGTACAGAAATGTCCACAGAAAGCTTCTCTCTGGCCGTAGCAGGGATTTTGTCCTTTCTACTTGGTAGCACTTATTATAATGACACTATTATTGCAAATACGTCCTTGCAAGCTGACCTTGTGACCTTATAGTAGTCAGCTCCTAACGGCAGGAACTGAGTCTTTTCCACTTTGGATCTTCATAACTATAACTTTTCTTTAATGTTTATTTATTTTTAAGAAAGAGAGAGAGAACATGAACAGGGGAGGGGCAGAGAGAGGCACACACACACACACACACACACACACACACACACAATCTAAAGCAGGCTCTAGGCTCTGATCTGTCTGCACAGAGCCTGATGCAGGGCTCAAACTCACAGGCTGTGAGGTCGTGACCTGAGCCGAAGTTGGACGCTTAACTGACTAAGCCACCCAGGCACCCCTCCACCTTGAATCTTCGGTGCCTAGCACCCTGCTGCCGCCACAGATTTTTGCTAACTGAAATGAGTTCTCAGAGCACAAGGATTAATTAGCTGGTTTAGTTTCTCCTGCAGGGTCTGCCCTGTCCTGTAGCGAACCTCTTTTGAGCCCTGCTGTGAATCACTGCATGAAGGCCATAGCAGAGCTTTAGTGCATAAATCAGTTCGCCTACAAAGGAAATTTAGGTAAAGCCCGGGCAGCTGGCATTCATAAATCCTACATGTTGGTGGCATCTGCCAGAAATACACTGCATCTAGCATGCACGCTTTGAGTTACTTTGGAGCTAATTTACATATGCAACAGGTCAGACATCCCTGCATTTACCTGATGAAAACACAGGCAGAATTCACTGGTACCACCTAGTGAGGGGCTGGCACTTTCTGGGCTGCTTGGAGGCTGTCAAAATGGCCCTTGGGGGGAGCTGTGATCTCCGGAGCCCTCCTCTGATGAGCTTATTTTTCAAGCTGCAACCAAGAACTTTCTCTAAGAGAAAAGGCCAAGGGCCCTACCTGTCGCCAGTTACCTAAAGAGAGGTTTTACAAATGGCCTCTCTTCTGGCCACTGTCCCTTTGGGCCGAGTTCACGCTAGCTAGAAAAACTCAGGGTGTAATATTCGTAGGAAAGGGCAGTGAATTTATGTCTCCACATGTCAAGAGGAAAAAAGGCAGAGAGCAATCCTTCTCACTGACCGCCATGGGCATGTGACTCTGTGCAGCTATGGCCTCTGACCAGGAAAGGTCAAGGTTCAGGGACTCTAGTCACAAAGCAAACTTGAGCCATTCCATCTCTGCCGCTCTGATGGCTGAATCCATCCGTTGGCTGTGCTTCTCACAGAAGCAGATCTAACTGCCTGCACCCTCAGCAGCAGCTTCCTAACTGGCTGCCCTGCCGCGGGGCTGGCCCAGCTAATCCGTTCCCCTCTGCAGACGGCATGCTCTTTGTGAAGGGCGTGTCACTTCTTCACCTCCGCCCACGGCTCCTCCTGCCTTGGGACAATTCCTACAGTGTTCATCCTGGCTAATGGCCCATGTGTGAACCCTGAGCCTGCTCACAGGTCTCATTTGCCATCGTGCCCTGCCCTCCAGCGACACAACATCTCTCCCACTCCCCTGCTGGGGGCTTCTCTCTTGCCCTGAACCTTCTTCCTACCAGCTGCACCCGGGTCTGGAATGTTCTTCCTCCCCTCCCTGTTTCCACCTGTCTGATTCCTACTTCTCCTTTATCCCAGCCCTCCAGGAATCCTTTTCTCTGGATGGGTCCTCCAGCGGGATTTTGTACTTCTCCTAACAACAGGCTACACATGGGGATCCTGCTGGCCTGCTCGCCTGAGCGGCTCCGCAGAAGTAGGGGTGGAGCTCGGCCCATTTACCCCCAGCCGCAGCATCCTTTGCGGTGACCTGGCGCATGGTCGGTGGCCAGGAAATACTGCGTTGAACGAGTGCACGAACCACTGCATGCTTACCAGGAATGGCCGCCCAGACTATTCCGATCATGGGAGGTGCAGGGGACTCTAAGCCCCACTCACCATTGCAGGTGCAGCGCACGTTCCTGTAGAAACGCGGGCACACAAAGCTGATGCGAGCCGTGCTGTAGGTCATGAGGGCATGCGAGTCCAGGGACAAGCCTTGCTCACAGTGCTGCTCCTGGCAGTCCAGCCCCGAGCAGTTCTTCTCCAGGATGGCCGAGATGCGCATGACGTTCTCTAGATGTCTCCTGGCGTTGGACAGCTTCTGGATCAGGTAGGCTGGCTTGTAGAACTCACTGCTGTGCATTTCCACTGCAAACAGCATGTCCAGCTGGTTGGTCCCCGCCACGGGCTGGATGCTGATGATGCGCAGGCTGTCCTGCTTCTGGGTGAGGACCGCGTTCCGCAGGGTGCGCCGGAAACCATGCATGTGCAGCCCCACGAAGTCCTCGGGGGACACGTTCTCGAAGCGGATGGTGACGGTGTTCTGCAGCATCTCGTGCACCAGCTGCTCCACGTGCACGACCACATCGATGGGCACCTGGAAGCGGCCGTCGCTCACTGACACGTTCAGGACGTACTTGCCACTGTCCAGGCCTCCCAGCGCGATGATCTTCCCGTCATGGCTGTTCACTTTGAACAGGCTTTTCTGCTCCGATTTCAGGGCAAACGTGAGCACATCGTACATGTCTTGATCTGTGGCATGGATTTTCCCAATGACTCCACCAGGAAAATCGTCTTCCATGGTGACAATGAAAATCTCCAGGGGGATGGCCGTGGGCTTGTGAATACTTTCCTCAATGACCCGAACGCGGATGTAGGAGTGAGAAACTTGCTGGGGTTTGCCTGAGTCTTTTGCCTAAAACAACCAAGAGGGAGAAAGGCAGGGAACTAAGACAAACTGTAACAATTTTAAAAACAACAAAACCCGGAGAGAAGACGCTTATTCCTTTACCCGTGTTTGCTTCTTCCTCCGTCCCCTGTTACTGTTCTGCAAAATGCTGAAGGCGTGCATTGCAGTAAGAGGAGTGATTTATCACCTTTGGTCCTTACATGCACACTGTTACGGACGATAAAATATGTCCACACAGTAGAGCCGTTGGGGGTGAACAGGGAAGGAGAATGGAGGATGCTATGAGATTCCAACATGCCCACAACACACTGGCCTTGTTTTCATTTTGAACAGAAGCCACAGGGGGACCTCATACATAAAGTTGTGTTCATACTTGAAGGAGCAATCTTTGCAATTTTTTCCTTTGGATTGGGCCAGAGAACACCTTTCTGTATATTGAAGAAATAACATGAGGTATGAATTATACAAATTAAGGTACAGAATAAAAAATGGAACACAGAAGGGAAAAATAGGTAGCCTGGAAAGGCTATGCCTTCCTCCTCTGATAAGAATTGACAGAAGGAGCACCTTGTCAGCAGATCATTCCTGAACACCTTCCATGCACAGCATGGGTGTAGACAGTGCTGTAGAGCTTCAGAGATGGGCAGATCCCTGTGTACTGGGTCCCCAGGGAAGGCATCTGAGGATGGAGGGATGTGGTAGCCCTTGGAGATAGGTCCTCCTATGTGGAAGGCAGTGTAAAGGGACTTGGGCATCACATGGACCTGAGTTTGAATCTTGACTCAGCCACTCACTGTGTGTCTGGCATTGAGGAAGTTACTTAACATTTCTGATCTTAAATTTCTGTACCTTTAATATGACTATAATGATAGTACCTACTTCACTTTAATCCCCTATGGTGAGGATTAAAAGATAGTGATTGCAAAGTGGTTAGCACAGGCCTGACCCATGGAAGTACTTAGTACCTCAGGGTTACTGTGACTGTTATTTTTATTATTAAAATCACTGCATTCTTCCTGTGATCAACTATATGAACCAGAGAAGCTGAAATGGAAAAGTCATGTAGAAAAGAGAAGTTAGCAAATGAGGTTGAACTTGAAGTCAGACTGCGGAGGGCCATGGATTTTGTAGGCCAGAGGTTGCCCACTCAAATATCAGAGAGCAGAGAGGAAACAGAAAGGCACGGAGCCACTGGGTGGAAGGTGATAGATTAGTGGACCTATGGACTGAGCAGGACCGGAAAACCATGTCTGTCTGGAAAACCAGTATGGGCTGGAGTTCAGACTGAGGACTGCATGTCTTCTTGTAAATGAATGGATGAGGCTATGTTCCAATACACTTTTATTTATAAAAGCAGGCTAAGGGCAAGATGTGGTCTAGGGGCTGTGGTTGGTTGACCCCTGGTTTGGGGGGCTGATATAATCAAAGTAGGAATGGTTACTCTGGGAGGGGTGTAGGGATATATCATAAAAGAATGAGGCTGAAGCCAGAGGAGTCACCCAGGAGGCTCCTGCAACAACGAGAGAACAGGGAGGTAGTGAATAAAGTGGGGCAATGACAAAGGAGATGTAACTGATGCACACAGGGACCTCAGGAAGGCAGAAACTCCTGAATTGGTGGTAGTTTAACATAAGGGATTAGGAGGAGACACACTCTGTGGTGTGTCCAAGGTCTGAGATGTGAAATCTATTCTCTACCCTCTAATCCGAGAGGGTAAAAGATCTATGCCAGCTCCAGTGAGAAGGCACTAAAGTCTCTCCTTGCTCTTGGTAACCTCTACTGTGATATAAAGTTATTTAAGAGGAGGCCAGTCAATTAAGTGTCCGACCTCGTCTCAGGTCCTGATATCACGGTTTGCAAGTTTGAGCCCCCCCACATCAAGCTCTTCACTGACAGTGCAGAGCCTGCTTGAGATTCTCTCTCACCCTCTTTCTCTCTACTCCTCCCTTGCTCATGCTGTCTGTCTCAAAACTAAGTAAATAAACATTAGAACAATTACTTACTCAATACTGTTGGAGGAGTGGGTGGCAACCAAAGCGTTCACTGACATGCTCAGAGCCAAATGTCATTAATTTGGAAGGTTACAGTGTAAGCCAGAACTTATCAAGAGAAATAATGAACACAATGGAATGTGATACACATATAAAGAATTATTATTGTTATTTTTGCCACCATGAATAATGACTTTAGGTTGCCCTCTGTGGCAACAGTGAGTAAAAAAGTCCCTTAGTTTACTGATGGGACCCAAATCATGATACTGGCAAAATTAATTCCTGGGAATTCATTTCCTGCTCTTATCCACACCCTTTCCATCTCTGCCACTTTTGTCCCTTTGTCCCATTTCATTTTACACAGGCCACTGACTTTGAGGAAGCTGAAATGTTGGGAGGCCACTGCCATCCTAATGCTCAGTCCCCTCCTGCTTCACCGGGAAAACTTACCAAGCAAAGGTCTCTTCAAAAGCAGAGGCCATGCTATGTCTCAATCACATTTGGACAAGGTTTGGAAGCTTTCTCAAGTGGAGTAATGTGGCAACGTCTACTCAGCATAAAGCAGCAAGCCCTGACCAATTAGTTGTCTTTGTGGGTGACTTAGAACCCTAAGAATTTTGAGAATGCAGATTTAGGCCCAGTGACCATCCACCTGGTACTCCCTACGGGAATGTCCCTTCTGAACAATGACGCTTCTCTTCCTTCCTGTTCAATTTCACACAAAGAGGCCGCTTTTATTGGTGTGAAATTGAATTTGAGATTAAAAGGGGAACATTCCTGCATGGTAATGAATTACGTTGACTTGCTCAACAAAGAAAAACCATCCACCGGGCACGGAAACCGGCACAAGGGAAAGCCGGCCTGATGGGGACAGAGGACGAGGCCATACCTGGACACACAGCACATATTCCGGAGACTCTGTGTGCCGGAAGACCACAGCTGACCGCAGGACCCCATGTGGGTCCAATATGAACTCCTCCTCTTCGTTTCCCGACAGAATAGAGAAGGAGAAGGGAGGCCCATTGTGAAAGGAGTCTCTGTCTGTCACCACAAGCTGCAGAATGCTGGTGCCTACTGGCTTGTTTTCCTGCATAAAAGAGTATATTAAAAAGGAAGATAAAATTACACCTCTCTTCTCGTTTAAAAAAAAAACAAACCATTATTACCGGTTAGAAAACAGGGCTTTCAAAAGAAGGGATTCCCTGTGATATTATCTTGTCTTCCGAAAATAGGCTGGAGTCTGTAAGCGTCATGCTACACATCCTTGGCCGCCTCCCCACAACTGCCCCGTGAGACAATGAGCTGTGGGAGAGAACACAGGAACTTCACGTTGAGCAGGTGTAGAGGGTCCCAGGATGGTGTCGCCTCCATCTTGTCCTTTGTAGGCTGGAAAGGCCCTGGGTTCACCCAAGCAGCTCTGGGAACACATGGTGCTCGCTAGCCTCTGGGACAAGGTCAGAAACCCTCTCAGGCCAAGGAAACATCAACCTTTCAGGACAGGAAGGCACTTTGTCACACTTGTCACAACACAATCATGCTGAGGCCCCACGCTCTGACACAGGGTCACAACATCGGACTTTGGGGGGGTCATCTTGGCAACTCCCCATTAAACACACAAAGGCATATTCCAGGTGGAACTCAGGCTTTACACCTCACTCCTCAGAACACAGTTTTGCCATCTTTCTTGAGAACAGGGAAAGTGAGCAGACTATTTCTCAACTTGAGGGTGAAGAGAAAGAAAATCCTTAGAGCCATCAGAATTTCTGGAAACCCTGATTTTATTCAAGGATTATTTTGTAGAACCTCTCTGTGTTTCCCCCAAAATAGAAACACAAAGGTTCTTTGTCACTCCTTCTTGAGTTGGAGGTTCTCCACACTCTGAAAATGCCCAATTGAATTCCTCCGGAGCCCAGGCATTGGTTGTCTTGCCCCATGCTGTTTAGACTTCGGCATTACCAAAGTTTGGGCCTGAAGTCAGTTTCATTAGTTCAGGACTTCTGATGACATCGATTTAGCATTAAATATGTTTGGGTCACAGAGATGGAGACCGTGATAAGCTGCAGTTTGGATGGAAGTCATGCACGGGGCAGGCACACTCGAGCTTGATGTGCTGAATTAGTCTTATGAAAACCATGTGTTGGACAAAAGAAATTGTCCTGGCTTGGGAAAAGGGAGGGCCAGTTTTTGAAGGAGAAAGAGAAAAGGGCCTCAAAAGGCCTCTTACTTTGTTCCTTCTCTCAAGAGGCCTTCTGGTCATTGAGAACTAGACCCCGTTTCCCTCTGGAATCAGCCACGGCACTGCCTCAGCCCAGCGTAGATTTACTATTTCACGGTGACAGCATCCTCAGCACCACACAAAATAGAAGATTTATTGATCTGTTTGCTCACTTTACAAAAGTCATTTCCTCCACAGGAGAGAGACAGAGAGAGAGAGAGAAAAAAAAAAATGTGTGCCCCAGGGGTCACCAGCTGAGAAAGAAGGGTGGAAGAGAACACGGGCAGGCCCCGGCGCTGCAGACATGAGCTGCGGTCACTGCTCATGGCTGCAGTTCTCGTTTCTTTCACTGCTGACTTCCTGTTGTGCATGTGAAAACAGGCTGTCAGGCTGATCGATGTGTGTCATAAAACTGAGTGTTGAGTAGGCAAAGCCCATTTTGTTTTGGGGCGAGCACACACAGGCCGTGCGAGGCCAGCAATGCCACCATGGGAGATGGTCCTGGAGAAAGACGATCTGAGAGAGAGAGAGAGAAATGGAGGAAGGGGCAGCCCCTGGGTAAAGCTGTGTGGAAGCAGGAGGGGGACAAGAGTGCACAGCTGCTGGAAAGACCATCAGAGAGCAGAGGGAGACCCAAATACCATCACTGAAGGAATCCAATTTCACTGACAAGGTGGGAGGAAAGAGGCAGAGGGCTGCCTGCTTTATGAGCGAGCGCCTCTCCACTCCGCCTGACTCCTGGACATCTCAGAGGTGGGGAGCCAGCCGTCGATGGCCAGATGAAGTCCTGATGTTGTTCCAAAGGGGTCCCTCAAAACCTGGCTCTCTCTCATCTTCCCTTCTACCCTCAAAGCCTGCAGACCCCGCGAGAGGGGATTCCGAGGCCAAACTGGATCAGGCAAGAGCTGGTTCTCAGGACTATCTGAGGTCCCCCACAACACTGTATATCAAACCCTGTTTTCTCTACATCCTCCACACTGACAGCATTCGTGGACTGGGTTCCCCGAGCCTTCTGTGGTTGGGAAGAGGAGGTAGCTCGGCACCCAGCACTGTGCTGATGAAACATATTTTGAAAAAAAAGAAGATGGAAAGAAGAGTCATTCCCTCTGAGAACAGAATGTCAGCTATTCCATCCTGCAGCTGAATTTTAAGGAGCGGGTAGATTTAAAGTGCTAAACAAAATGTTTATGGAAGATTGATTTTAATGAGTAGCAGCTCTATCCTGATGCCCAATATCTCTTGGAGAGATGAGACGGTTTGTATCAATCTCCCGCTACTGTCGGAATAGAAGAGTCGCTAAAAGGCAGCCTGCCCTTGTGAAGAGGATGGCTTTTGCAGAAGGCTGACCTGAGTTCGAATCCTGGCTCTCCTACTAACCAGCTGCAGGATCCTTGGGGGGCTACTTAGCCCCTCAGGCCCTTAGCTCCTTCAGTGTGAAGTGGGGGCTGCCTCGCCCTCTCAGTTCACATAGCGGTGGTGGGGACATGTGGCTCATGTAAAGCACCCGACACTCAAGAGAACCCCATTGGCAACAGTGCTTATCAATATTCATTAGTCTGTAGCTGTGGAAGGATCAGGCTCGCTTCAGCCTCACAATGGGATGAGTTGATATCAGGTAAAAAAAACAAAAACAAAAAAACCCAAAAAATGGTGAGTAAAATGGGTTGCCTGGGTGGCTCAGTCGGTTAAACATCTGACTTTGGTTTAGATCATGATCTTATGGTTTGTGGGTTTGAGCCCCACCCATATCAAGCTCTACGCTGACAGCTTGGAGCCTGGAGGCTGCTTTGATTCTCTGTTTCCCTCTCTCTCGGCCCCTCCCCTGTTTGTGCTCTCTCTCTCTTAAAAAAAAATAAACAAATGAACCTAAAAAACATTTTATAAAAATCTGGCCTTGTGTAGCAACATGGATGGACCTTGAGGGTGTTATGCTGAGCGAAATAAGTCAGGCAGAGAAGGACAAATACCATATGTTTGCACGTATAGGAGGATTAGGAGGAACTTAACGGAGGAACAAGGGGGAGAAGATGGGGGAAAATGGTGGGGGAAAGGGGGAGAGGCAAACCATGAGAGACTCTTGAATGCTGACAAAAACTGAGAACTGATGGATGTGGGGGGGAGGGGCGATGGGCACGGAGGGGGGCACTTGTGGGGATGAGCACTGGGTGTTTTATGGAAACCAACTTGTCAATAAACTATTTGTAAAAAAAAAAAAAAAAGAAATGATGAGTAAAACCGTTGCAGAGGAAGAGGGCTGGGCACACAAGGAGAAGTGCCTGGCAGGCAGGATTTGGCTCACCTGAATGACAGCAGTGTAGTTAGCGGGGGTAAACACAGGGCTGTTGTCGTTCACATCAGAAATATCAATGTTGACGGTGGCAGTCGATGACATCGCAGGAATGCCACTGTCTACTGCCTGGATGAGCAGGGAGTATCCAGACACCTGCCAAAGCAGAGAGCCGACAGTGAAGATGGCAGCTTCTCCCTCGGTCTGCACACACTCAGAAGAACTGCGGGTAGGGGTGTGCTTTGCTGACGATCAGCCACCTTGGTCCTCAAGACCAGGGTTTCGCAACGTCGGCACCCCTGATACCCAGGGCCAAGGTAATTCTTGGTTGCTGGAGGCTGACCTGTGCCTTTGTAGGATACTTAGCAGCATCACTGGTCTCTACCCACTAGAAGCCAGTATCACTTTGTGCCCATTTGTGACAGCCAACAATGTCTCCAAACATTGCCAAGTGCCCCCCCGATGGGGGTGGTGGGACACAAAACCACCCCTGGTTAGAACTACAGTTCTCAGCCTTTGTTCAAACATGACGGGTGTCACCCTGATCTTACCTATCAGTTCTGAACTTCAGGAATCATGGGGATGTATCACCTAGAGAGGATTTCCTGCTTTGGCAACCACTACTATGACCTCTCTTCAGGTATATAAGTTCACTTTTTGAAGACATATATTTTGGGACACAAAACACAATGTTTCGAAACTTTGTTTAACCTTGGCAGAGGAGTTTTCTGGATCACTCTTTCTGGCCTAATACCTTCAGATGCTCCTTTTTTATCTGCTCATCTAGCATGAAAGCTATGGATGAAACCAGAACCACAGGATCCCAATGCTGAAGGTACTTTCCTGCCTCCTTGCTGTAGGAAGAACCAAAATTCAAAGCATCCAGAAAGACGTATCTTTGGGTGCGCCTGGGTGGCTGAATCAGTTAAGTGTCCAACTTCAGTTCAGGTCATGGTCTGATGGGTTCGTGAGTTTGAGCCCTACATCAGGCTCTCTGCTGTCAGCACAGAGCCTGCTTCAGATCTTCTGTCCCCCTCTTTTTGCCCCTCCACCACTAATTCTCTCTCTCTCTCTCTCAAAAATAAACATTACACAGAGAAAGATATATCTTTGCTTTTTTCTTTAAGACACCAATAAATAAGAAATTGCCAGCATCTATTGGCAGAAAATTTCTTTCAAAGGTCTAACCCAAATATGTCATGCTCCATTTCAGCTCATCCTACTTACTCTCATTATTTGGAACACAGAATCTTCCTACTTTTACTCATGGAGGCTTACCCGATTCCAGTGAAGGGAGGGGAGTGTGGATGGGGGGCTGGCCTAAACTAGCTTACCCGTTCCCGGTCTAATTTCTTCTTAACCTTTACAAGTCCCAGGACAGGCTCCACGGCAAATTCATTGTCCCGATCTCCATTCACAATGGAAAAATGAATCTGTCCGTTGGGCTGGCTATCTGCATCTTCTGCTATTAGCTTCGTAGGACACAAGAAAAAAAAAAAAAACGACATGACAGAAGAGACAGAGAAAAGGTTTATTCTAAGGGTCTCAGGTCTTACAAATGGGCACAATTCTGACAGTTTTCTTAGAGCTATCAATGCTCATGTGCCAGCCATCATGTCCCCAGCAGAAGACGGATGGCTTGTCTGAAGAAGGGAGGCACCACTGTGGAAGCTGCCACTTCCTTTCCATTAATTTTTGTTTGCCTACAGCCTGATGCTTGTTAGGCATGACTTTCCTTGGGCCTTGAGCCACTGAGGATAGAGCTAAAGCTCACTGACAGGGAGAGTTTGGTGATTCTTTCCCAATTCTGCAAAACAATGGTCTCTGCCACTGAGATAGACACTCTCTAAAGCCACCTGTCTCCATATTAAGGAAGCCCAAGAAAATTCCCTTTCTCACATGGCAAACACACTGCCCTTCTGTTCCATATAGGTGATATTGGGATTTATATGTATGCAAGTGATCCTGGCAAGTCCACCTCTGGTGTGTAAAGAAAGCACACCGACACCTGGTGCCACAGGAGCGAGAGACAAGGACGGATGGAAGGGGCCTGTCCAGTAGGGGTAGTGATGATGGTAAGGATGGAACTCACTGTTTCCAAAATGTGATTTATAAGTCTGAGAGAGCCCATGTACTCTTTATACATGGCTTGCTCTTACTGGTAATAGAAAAATTCCTTCCAGAAAGAGCTCCTCTAAGCGTGGTCAATCAGTCTTAATCTTGCTCCCATATGTAGCTGCCCTACTCTGTGTGCATGTGTGAGTGCATATGGGTGTGTGTGTGTGCGCATGCATGGGGTGTGGGGCAGATTTTCTTTTATCCTTAGCCACCTAATATCTTATTATCTAAGGTCACAAACCAGTGGGAGCCATAGTTAGAAATGTATTCCATGGTCTGTTTTGTTTTCTTGAACAGCATACACTTCCAGGAAGAACATAATTATCTTCATTTAAACCTTTGTATAAATGAATTTTTCAGACCCTTCCAATGTACAAAGGGAGAAAGAACAGCTGAAAGATTGGTGACTGACTAGAGTTCTTGCGGACAAAAGGACTCTAACGGAGAAAGTGTGACAAGAACCCAAGACAGACTTCGCTCACTTTTTTAGCTCTCTTCAGTAGGATTATGAGTCCCAGATGTCTGGACCTCCCCCGGGTACCTACCAGGATGACAGAGTCCCCGACCAAGGCATCCTCACTTATGACAGCACTGTAGACATCTTGGCTGAACCTGGGTGGGTTGTCATTCACATCCGTGAGGTTGATGCTGACAGTGGTCACGGCGCTGAGAGCTGGGGTGCCCCCATCTTTGGCTTCCACCACCAGGTAAAACTTTTTGCATAATTCATAGTCCAGCACTTCAGAGACAGAAATGCCCCCTTTGAAGAGAGATTAGGAAAAAAGATTGGTCAGCGGTTCTATAATCATGGCAATATTTATAACATCATCTCCAGCCAAGAATTTTAGATATTCAGGAATTTGTTTACTTAATGCCCTGCTGAAAGCATCTCCGAGTCTGCTTCATGCTGTCAGTTAAAACATAGCTATCCATCAGATGCAACACTGAAGAAATCAAGTCTTTGAATGTTTCTGCAATAGTTTCTGAACATCTCTTAAGCAGCCTGAAAATCTTTGGCATAATTCACCCATAGGCCACTAGGCAGAAGGGCCAGAAATCGGCATCCCTGTTAAGTGCCTCCTTGAACTGGACCCAGGCAGGTGGAAAATGAGCTGAGATGTGTGGATGTGATTACATGATCCCACCCCAGTCAACAAGTGAATATCTGCAAACTTAACTGAATTCAATTACCTACTAACATGTCTTGCTAAGTTACAATGCGCTTATCTAGAACTATGACAGCACAAAGAGGACAAAGATCTCAGAAATCTCAAGGTATAGTGACCTAATGAAAAGGAGACACCTGGGATTAGTGGCCAACTAGTACCCACAAGTACAAAACAGAGGGAATGTCCACACCCCAAAGCTATTTAAGTGAGTAGAACAAGTGGAAAGGTCCTGGGTGGGTACCACCTCTAAGAGGGGCTCTATGAATGCTTTTCCTGCCCATTCTATCCCTTTCTGGTGAGGTGATCCAATCCTGCATTCTGCAATTGGTACACTGTACTGTCTGCAGAGCAGATCTCAAGGGCATTTGTGGGCATTTCTCCCAAATGGAAAACAATCATTAGGACCAAGGTCAGTATGTCACATCCATTCACATCTCTAGACAGGCACCTTCCTTAGCTGCTAAAGCTGCCCTTCTATTTAAGGTGAGGAAGAGAAATCATACCTATAACAAGAGCCTCTTTCTCCCCATAATTAAGTTTTCTTAGCAATTACCAGCCTTAGTGCTTTGTTTTGTATCCCAGTCTTGTTATCTAGTGCCACATTTAAACAGTACTTAACCATTTCCCCATGGTGTTCATATACAATGGCCGTAACTAGACAGACGAAGTCTAACACATATTTAAATGAGGGAAATCCCATACATTTTAATTTGAAGTAATGACCTTAATAAACGGAGGTACTGCTGGGAGAAGCTGCTAATGCAATTCTTCCATCAATATTTCCACCTCCCTACACCTAAGGGCAGGAACGGTATCTCCTTCTTATTTTGCACCTCCCCCTACCCCAGCATAGTGCTCTACAGAGGTGAGAGCACGTATTCTAGAATCAGGAAGATCTGAGCTCAAATCCTGGATCCTCTACGGACTCACAGTGGACATTGGGGAACTTACTTAACCTCTTCGAAGCTCTGTTTTTCTCCTATGGAAAATGCGAGAAATAATTCATAACCAATGAATTAATAGGAGTCTGGCGTATTCAACCTGTTAAATAAATGTTGCTAATTATGACAATTTCCTGTTCATGTTTACTGAACTATCCAAAGGAGAGGGGACCTCCTTTGCCACCTTGTTCAACAAGCGCATTTTTCTTGCGTGATGATGAAGGAATTGCATCCAATGGATGCGAAGTAGGAGAGATTTACCTTTCTTACCTGGAAAATGCTTTCATTATGACTATTCATAGGGGAATAGGTAAATGAATGAGATTATCCATGAAAGTGTTTTAAAAATATTAATACAAACACTATGAAAATACATAGTGAAAAGGGTGAGTATGTTACTCTTCTAAGAATATCCAAACTTGTTTCTTGAATCACCATCTTTACTTTATTACCATCTTTATTATCCAATACGCCTCCAATAGCTAACTCCCTAATGGAAAGAAAGGCCTGCCTAAGCTTCTCCTTTTGTTCTCTTGATGTATTTCTAGGTATGTTTTCCCTAGGTGACACCACATGGCCCCTGAGTTTGAAAAGGGGGCAGTGAGAAACGACAGTGTTCTGACTGGGAGTCGTGGACAGGACTTGAATAGTTCCAGTTCCAGCCGACTGGGGAGCAGAGCTGAGAAGGCCACATGTCACTGTGCACACCACTTAGCAATGTCTGCTTTGGCAGATGACGAGAGAGTGGCAGCCTGAGCGTGGACAGGGGCACTGGGGTGCTCATCTCTAGGAGCACTTCCAAACACATAAACATATGATCCAAATAAAACAACCCAAAATGAAACCAAGCAATAACAGAAAAGAGAGGGAAAGGAACAAACCCTTATGCTGGGTGTGCAAATATTATTATGAACTACCTTACGGCTCCTAAGCCTACCTATGAGAAATCCTGGAGCCTACCTGGAGGTCAAGTACTTGCCCAGTGAGCCCACAGTTAGGGGCCTACAGCTTGGCAGGGGGCATCCACAGAAGCAGAGTTTCAGAAGGCACCCTGGGGTCCGCATGATGTGCTCCCACTGGGAGGGAGGAGGAGAAGGAAGCAGAGCCCACCCACAGGGCAGTTATATGGTTAAGAGAAGCAGGGTAAAAGTGAAGCTGTGAATTTTAAGTAGGTTGCCGTTTACCCACCTGTCTTTGGATTGATTCTAAATCTTCCTTGTTCATTCCCAGACCGGATTTGATATGTAATCTCAGCATTTGTGCCGATATCTTTGCTGGTGGCGAAAACAGCAAGCACTTGGGTGCCAGGGGAGGTGTCCTCAGGCACCGTCACCAGGTAGTCCCTCCTCTCAAACACAGGGGGGTTATCATTAATGTCCAAGACAGTGATGGTGACCGTAGCAAGAGAGGAGAGAGCCTGGCCGGGGCTCTGGTCAGTGGCCTGGACGCTGATGTTGTAGGAGGGCTGCTGTTCTCGGTCCAGCGGCTGCTCCAGGATGATGATGCCTGAGGAGCTGTCGATGGAGAAGAAGCCATCGGCAGAGTCAGCCAGGGAGTACACCACCTTCCTGTTGATGCCTGTGGAAGACGCAAGAACGTTAGCAAGAAGAACGTGGCTTGATGCTCTGCACTAGAATATTATGGCTACACAAAGAAGGTCAATAATGACAGAAACCAACAGCTTTGGCCCTACATTTGGTCAGCCATTTAGCTAAATGAGGGTAGAAAGAGTTAAACATAAATGTATAAAAAAGAGGGGCGCCTGGGTGGCTTAGTCGGTTAAGCGTCCGACTTTCGCTTAGGTCATGATCTCGCGGTTCGTGGGTTCGAGCCCCGCGTCGGGCTCTGTGCTGACTGCCAGCTCAGAGCCTGGAGCCTGTTTCAGTCTGTGACTCCCTCTCTCTCTGACCCTCCCCTGCTCATGCTCTCTCTCTCTCTCTCTCAGAAATAAATAAAAAAATATTAAAAAAAAAAAAGTATAAAAAAGTTAAAGCACAAAAATGTACAGGGGCACCTGGGTGGCTCAGTTGGCTAAGCATCCAAAACTTGATTTTGGCTCAGGTCATGATCTCACAGTTGTTCGGTGTGGAGTGTGCTTAAGATTATTTCTCTACAAGGCACCTGGGTGGCTTGGTCACTTAAGTGTCCAACTCTTGGTTTTGGCTTATGGTCATGATCTCACAGTTCATGAGTTTGAGCCCTGAGTTGCACTCTGCACTGATATTGCAGAGCTGCTTGGGATTCTCTCTCTCTGCTCCTCCCCAACTCACTTGTTCTCTCTCAAAATAAACACTTTAAAAATTGAAAAAAAAAAAAAGATTCTGTCTTTCTCTCTCTTTCTCCCTGTGCCTCTCCCTCACTCATGTGTGTGTGCTCTCTCTCTAAAAAAAAAAATTTATGTAAAAACATATACAACTAAATTAAATGGTAACGAAATGTAAAATATTGGTAGCAGATATCATCAATAGTTGGGTATTCTTCATGTATTAAAGAACCCCAGGCATCTTTAATAAAAACTGTAAGATGCCAATAAATACGGGGGTAAAGATGTGTCACACAAAGAGAAATACAAATTAATTCATTACTTCAAAAAATGTTTATCTGGAATCTATCAGGCACTATTCTAGGTGCCAGAGATTTCAGCAATGGACAAGAGTCAAGCACTTCTTGAGGGAATTATTACACTTAGTGGGAGTAAGTAAGAAATTAACAATAAGGGGTGCCTGGGTGGCTCAGTCAGTTAAGCGTCTGACTTCAGCTCAGGTCATGATCTCACAGTCAGTGAGTTCCAGCCCTGCATCAGGTTCTTTGCTGACGGCTCAGAGCCTGGAGCCTGCTTCGGATTCTGTGTCTCCCTCTCTCTCTGCTCCTCCCCCGCTCATGCTTTGTCTCTCTCTGTCTCTCAAAAATGAATAAATGTTAAAAATTTTTTAAAAAAAATTAACAATAAATAATCTGTAAAATAAATGGCATGTTAGGGGGTAAAAAGGAAGAAAAGTAAAGCCACAGGGGGGATCAGGAGTGCTTGGGGGAGAGTTTGGGAGATGGAGGGAAGAGTGGTAACTTTAAATAAGGCCTTGGCACTTGAATAAAAACCCAAAGGAGGGGAGGCAGTGAACAGTGCACGTATCTGGGGAGAGAATGTTCCAGGCAGAGAGACCCACAAGTGTAGAGGCAGAAGCCGCCCCCCCTCCCCCCCACCATGTGTGTCTGGGGGCAGTGACGAGGAGACCGGTGTGACTACAGCCAGGATGAAAGAAAGAGAGGATGGTGTCAGGGTGACATCAAGCGGGGAGCAGACCGTGCGGGGTTGCAGTGCTGAGGCGGGAAGCCCGCCGAGCGCTCTGAGGCGGGCAGTCGGGAGCTGTGACTCAGATTTTAACAGGATCACTCAGGCTGCTGGTGAGGCAGAGCATGAAGAGCAGCTAGCGAGGAAGCAGGGACGGCTGGCAGGCGCCCACGGGAAGGCAGGCACGTGGCAGTGGTGGCTTGCACCGGTGGCGGCCTCTGAGGTGGTGAGAAGGGGTCAGCTTCCGCCCATGTAGGTGCTCAGAAGAGAGGATCCTGGATGTGTTCTGAACTTGGAGGTGGTGAGAAAAGACTGTTTTCCCGCAGAGTACGGGGTGTGAGAGACAGAGAAGACCCCAGGATGACTCACAGGGATGTGCCGACAGCCTTGACAGCAGGGACGGAGGCCTGCAGGAGGACCAGGGTTTGGATGACAGACCAGGAGCCCCATTTTGGACAGATTAAGTTCAAGATGGGCATTTTATAGGTAAGTGGATGTTCAGGGAGGGAGCTGGTGCAGGAGGCTGGAGATCAGAGGAGAGGTGCACGTGGAGCTACGAATGTGAGCACCACTGCGGTGCGGGGGCCATGCAGAGCCATGAGAATGGCTGAGGCCCTAAGACAGTGTCCAGAGAAAAAGAAATCCAATGGTCAGCGAGCCTGGAAAACTCCATCAAAAAAGGGAGAAGATCAGAGGGTGACCTCCGGCTCTGTGATTTAAAGAAATGCGCTAACTCCTCAAGATGCCATTTTACCTTAATGTACCAGAGAGCTAAAACATACCAGCCAGGAAACATCCACCAACAAGTCACAAATTAGTGGCGGATGATCAGATTGACTTCTGATGCTAAAGACTGAACTGTTTTCATCAGAGGATCTTAGCACTTCAAAATGATTAATGCACTCCAAGTTCACTAGGTGTTAATATTTATAAGAGGCAAAATATGACATCTTTGTAGGCTGACAAAGCATCATTTTGATCCTAAATTCCCTTGATGAAGACAGTCATTATTCAGGGGGTTTTAGCTACCACGGCCATCTGAAAATGCCTTTTACTAGAATCACAGACTCTTAGAGTGTAAGCTCTTAGAGGGGAGGACCTCACTTTGTTGTTTTCCATTATAACACCTCACCATGGGGTCAGACATTTGGCGGTAATAGGAGTTAAATGTTCTGCTCCCGCAATGTGTTATTTCCCTTAAGCCAAAATTCCCAGCAAACCAATAAAATCATCTATCTGGAGGGAATGACATAAATTGCATTATGTGGCTTTAACCAAAAGGTCAATACTGAGAGCTTGTTCTTGGTTCCATTCCAGAGAGTCCATTTTTTCCACAGTTTAATCATTTACTTTTATTTCTCTTTCAAAACAACTACCCTGTGATATATAAACATCAACTTCTGATTTTATTGGTGGTGGGATTAAAAACAAGAGGGCTCTCCTCTTCTTCGCTGCCCTTTAAAATAAGGCCCCAGAGCAGACGTTTTAAGGATGCCTTCTGGCTACTTGTCCTGTAGCTCTCCAAGATTCTATTCTCCAACATCAACTCCTGGGGTGAATATACATAGGGTTGCAATAACCCCGCAGGGGGTGGAGGTGAGGAGGGGGCAGAGCGTATGCCCTAGAAGCTGCAGTGTCTAATTAGAGGCTCTCAGGACACCCCTCAAAGTCACCGAAACAGATTTATGGGAACACATCAGCGACTGACATCGATACATCATGCAGGTTTTCAAAGCACATACATTGCCTGTGGATTTGACTTCTGCCCAACCCCCCACCGGCATAGGGAATACCACTCTTAGGAACAATCAGATGGAGCAAGAGATCTGTGCAGGGACTTTCATCTGAGCCTTTGCTGACAAGACCCATTTCACAGAAGCATAAACCAAGGACGGATGGTTTGCCCGCTGCCACTAGCGTTTTTAGGTAAGCACGAGGTACAAGCTCTTGTGTTCCCTGTAAGGATTTCTGGAGACCTGCTCTTGAACAGGCTTCCCCTTCAGACTTGAAGATCATTTAAGAAGAAGGCCATTTCCGACTCACTGGTCTGAAAGCGGTGGTGCTCCAGCCGAGAGCTGAGTGTTAGGAGAGGTGGGGGTCGGATTTGCACACTGCTGTTCTCTGCGGCCGCAAGGCCTAAAGGAAAGGTGCCCCTAATGGCTGCCTGTGTTTCTTTCATTGGGACAGACAACTGAAGTCTAATTAAAACTATCACCTATGTTCCTGGTCTGCCTCTTTCTCTTCCAGCCCTATTCAGAGGCATGGGCTTTGCTCACACCCGGGAGCAGGAGATGCTGTGTTCTCTGAGCTTCCTGCTCCGCGGGCTAGCTCTGTTGTCTGAGCACTGCATTTACAAGGCTGACATTAATCAGCCACACAAAGACCATGGCTCCCCTCTGGGTAGATTCTGTTAATTTAAATTCGGTGACAGGGCTTTTCTGCTTTACCACAGCAGAAAACCATCCCCTCCCCCCACCAAGTTGCTGACCCAAACTCCCCCCACTTCCCATACATTTTGCTTCTGACAGTATCTTGGGCATTCACACTAGGAGGAACTGGGGGATTTATTGTTTCCTTCTCCATTCTGTTACCAATCCGATTGATAGGGACCAGCAACGGGGGAGGGGAGGAAAAAAAAAACAAAATTCAAACCAACACACCTGCTAAATGCCATCACTTATGATTTGGTGGCTCTCAAGGAAAGAGCAGAATATATTTTTGAAATGTATTAAAATTCCCATTTAGACCCAACTGCAATGGATCTCAATGATTTCTAGAAATAAAGCAGACGGGTAAATACCAGTTTGGAGGCAGTACATTTGGTAGCGCTTGGATCTTTGCTGTGTTACCAGGTGATGGGTGCTATCTTTGTTAAATGAATGCAGGTCACGTCACTAAAGTGGTTAACTTTCTATCCAAGGGCTTATGATAAATTCCATCCTTCACATCACCATCCCTTTGCTACATGCCCAGCAAAAAAAGATGAACCTGAGTAGAAAATTTGCTTGCTAATTGGTCTAATGCTCTCACTGCATGTCACAATGTGTTATATTAAGGTATAACATTAATCTATCACTTTGTGTCTGTGTTTTTAAGTATGTAATTCTCTTCTCCAATTTGAGCCTAATTTAATGAGGACGGAGCTACTTAGCTTCTCAAAATGCCGAAATGACAGGCTACCAAGAGAAATAGGACTTTCACTGCAAGTGAAATTTCTGCACACTAACTGTGGCAAAGGGAGCAGGCAGGTCTTCAGAGGATTAAAATCAAGTAAAAAGAGAATGATTAA